CCACCCTGCCTTTCCCACCATACAGCTGTTGACCTAGTTCCTAGAGAATGAGGCTGAAGCTGGGAAAGGCAACAGTTGCTCATGGCCGCAGATGTACTTGGAGTTGGGGCTTCCCACGGAGACACGGTTCTGCATGGCAGGCCTGGGGGCCTTACCTCTCAGCACATTGAGGATGAAGCCAAGAATGGCACCCCCTGCAGGCGGTGGCGGTGAGTACAGGGTGTAGTCTCCCAAGGGCACCTCCAGGGCGTCCACCACCTCTGGCTGGAATGTGGCCAGGTCCTGTAGGGTCAGCCGGCTCCCTGGGGTGAGACAGGGAGGGCTCCATGTACAGATTGGGAAACCAAGGCAGAGAGGGTTAGCTGCTGGCCCCCAGTCACAAGACAGGGCTCCCTCACCCCCAAGCCTCATAGTCCTGGAGGGTGATAGCAGGTCTCTACACAGATGCCTCAGGGCAGGGCCCGTGGAGCCATGCATGGGTGGAAGACAGTGGACAGAGGCCAGCAGGCTGGGGAGAGGACAGGAAAGATGGGGGTGGGAGCTGGATGTCCAGACCCGCATGGCTGTGGATGACTCCCCTCTGCTGGCCCTAACTCTTGAGGTCTCTGCTTCTCAGGATCCTTGACCACAGGGGTCCTTGAGGCGGAAGTTGGGGAAGGTTCAGTTCTCACTGCCCCCACTGCCCCCGGCACTGGCCCTCACTAAGGCTGACCTTCCTTGGCAATGTCCTCCACCAACATCTGGCCCAGCTTTCCTGTGTAGAAGGTCTCTGCACCCTCCGTGGCCACTGTCTCCAGGGTGGTGGCCAGCACAGGCCATGGGAGTGGATCCTGAGGCCGCAGGGGTTCTGTCCCATTGAAGAAGAGCTGCCTGAGAGGGTGGGGAAGCCTCAGGGTGGGGCCAGGTCCTTCCAGGCTCTCATGGGATCCTTAGAACCCTATGAAGGGACAGTCCTGGCCCAGGATCCTGAGTTGCTGAGGGGAGCTACATGGGGACAGATTCTCTAGCACAGGCTGGAGCTGACATCGCCCACCCCACTCAGAGCCCTGGCCCGGGGAAGGCACATTACTCAGCCCCAACACACAACTCTGGAAGAACCTGTCCATAGGTTGGTGGGGCAGGCAAGGGGCCAGCTAAAGCCTTCTTGCCATGCCACAGAGTAAGAGGGAGCCTAGGGCCTGACGGGCAGACTCCCAATCCACACCCTTGGAGTTCTGTCACCTGGGCAAAAAAGTCCCCTGACCCAAGCCTCTCCAAGTTAGATTCTGCCATGTGGGGCCTGAAGGTCTCACTGACTGTCCTGGCCTTTGGTCCGCCAGCACACCAAGGGCTGCACACCTCAGTGCAGGGAAAGATTGAGGCAGGGCTGTGTGCAGGCTGGACTCAGGCAGGACATGACCTTGAGCCCAGGAGCTGCAGGGAGCCTGGGGCCACCATGTAGCACTCACCTCAAGGCAGACGCTTGCAGTAAGGGTCTCAAGAAGCTGTTGTTCAGGAACATACCAAGGACAGGGGGCACGTGGTGGCCCCCTCGGAGCAGCGTGATGGTGGGCTGGAACAGCTGTGCCCAGGGCAGGCGGCCATGGCGGCGGTGGGCCTCAGCATAGCCACGGAGCTCCCCAGGCACCCCAATCCACTGGGCCCCTGCATAGCACACCCTGACCTCAGCCCTGTGGCTGCCAGTCCTGCCCAGTGTTTCCTCATCACCCTCATACATGGCACCCCGACCCTGGCAGCCAGAATGAGCTTTCTGGACCCCACATCGACCATGTTCTTCCCTGTTTAACTTCCTCTGGTTCCTCCCTGGCCCTGCAGAAACTGACACCTGAGCCCACCCCACCATGTCCACTGAGCCCTCCTGCCTTGCCCAGCATGGCCCCTCTCCCTGGACTCCACAACAGTGCCCTCCTCAGGAGGACCTTCCCAGACCCAGTGGGTGAGGGCTGGCCCCAGTGCCAGGGGGTCCCTGCCTGTCTAGGAGCCACAGTGCCCTTTCGGGTCAGCCCCAGTGGCTGGGAGTGGGGTCAGCTGGGCTGGGAATGGGGTTGCTTCCTAGGCCTCACCTGTGCCTAGTGGCTGGGCCCGCTCACACTGGTCCAGCAGGTCCAGGGTACAATTGGCCGGCACTGTCTCCCGGGCATTGATGATGTCCACCTTCCCTGGGGTTAGGGCAGAGTAAGAAAGAGGTCATGAGCCCCTCAGACAGCCCTGGCCTGCTCTAGGCCTCAGCTTCCATCTCTGCACCATGAGACAGCCTCGGTGCTAACACTGAGCATAGGACGGGGTGGGAACCCCCCAGAGCACCAGGAGGGGCTCAGGCAGCAGTCACCAGTGGTGTGGACAAACTCATTCTCCTCAGAGGGCTCCTGTGGGGGGCCCACCTGTGGTCGCATTGTAGATGGTGAAGATGACCCCTCCGCCCAGGCCCATGCTCTGAGGGTTGACAATCCCAGTGCAGACCAGAGCTGCGATGGCGGCATCCACAGGTGAGCCTTGCTTCTGGAGGATGGCTCTAGGGGAATGGCTTTGAGTCAGTGGTGGGTCCCTCTCCCCTAGCCCCCACTTCTGGCAGTCACTGGGAGGGGTGACAGGAAGGCAGTCCATCCACCACCAAATCACAGGTGAGGGCCGAGAGCACATCCGACTTCCTCTTCAAACCCAGATGCTCCCAGGCCCATGGTACTCGACAGACTGCAAGTGCAATGCCATTTACTTTGCCCTTTGCCATGTTCCAGGCACTTCTCAGTTTGCAAAATGCTTTTGTTGCCATTATTCCCTAGGTCAGTGGTTCTCAACTTTCCTAATTCCACGTCTTTTCATTGTTAGAAAGAGATCACAACCCACAGGTTGAGAATCGCTGCCCTAGGTGCTCCCAGCAGCACCAGCTCATTTGCCCAGCAGATCCAGGCCTAGGCCACACCTTGGTCCCTCCCACTAGACCCAGAGCCCACCCTGGGACCCCACTTGCACCAACCCTTTTAAGGCTGGCTTTGGGAGGTGGCCCCAGGGCACCAGGGCATAGGGCTTGGGCTGATGGAGACTCTCTCTGGCCTCAGCCTCCCCATCTGTTCATGGGGAGCGAGGGCTAGGCCCTTTAGCTCTGAGGTACTGGTCAGACTGACCCCTATCCCTGGGCACAGCCCTGCACAGCTCACTAAGGGCTGTCTGCTCCTGTACATCCAGGATCCTTGCCAGCACTTCAAGAAGCTGGCATTTAGAGTGCCTATGGCTCAGTGGGTAGGGCACCAGCCCCATATACTGAGGGTGGCGGGTTCGAACCTGGCCCCAGCCAGCTAAAACAGCGGTGGCAATTGCAACAAAAAATAATTGGGTGGCTTGGCACCTGTGGCTCAAGTGGCTAAGGCACCAGCCACATATATCTGAACTGGCAGGTTCAAATCCAGCCCAGGTCTGCCAAACAACAATGACAGCTGCAACCAAAAAATAGCTGGGCATTGTGACAGGTGCCTGTAGTCCCAGCTACTTGGGAGGCAGAGAAAGGAGAATCACTTGAGCCCAGGAGTTGGAGGTTGCTATGAGCTGTGATGCCACAGCACTCTACCCAGGCAACAGCTTGAGGCTCTGTCGCAAAAAAAA